GTGCCGATGCAAAACTATAAAGGCCAACCAAAGAAACCATGTATGTGATTAAATTGCATTAATTTGTCCTCTAAAAACGTCTGGTTGCTTCTTTCTCACCCTCTGCCACAGGCGAATCCGCAGAAGAATGGGGGGACGGGGAGACGGATCTTTCGCTCCCCCCAGTGGCACAAGCAGCAGTGTTAGAACTATAGAAAACTCTCTTCCGCATTTCCGGCCGCCCCCGTCCCCCTCTCCCCCAGGAGCCCGCCCTGGTTTCGCCCTTTACCCTATGTCCGTACGCTCGATGTATAGCTCAGCAATACACTTAGTTCTAAGCAAATAATCTTCGCGAATTCTACGACTTCCCAGCTGTTATCGAAATGAAACTTTTGAAAACCGGCACAATGTTACCTTGAAATCATGAGCAACGATAATCGAGCCTTTTCTGGTCCCAAGGAACAATTGATCTTGATGATCCGTAGCACAAGAAAGTATTTCTTTCAGGCCCGATTGTATCGTACCGATTTTCTTAAGCAGCACACTCCCAGATAATCGAACCAGAACCTGTTCTTTAAAAAGTACAGTAAAAAAATGCAAAAAATTTGCAAATAAGCCTCCAATTAAATAGCAGGAAAATGGTATAAGCTTTAAAGAAGTTGTCAATTACGTCTAGCTTTGTCTGAAAATGAATATATACACTAAAAACTCCGATCAAACATCGTACGTTGAAGGGTGACTGGAAGGACCGTACTCTACAAAGAAACATAAATAGCAATACAGAGAGAAGCAAACTCACATTATCATAATTGATAAGAGTGAGAAGGACACAATTTCCAATCCAGAACAAATCCAATATCTGTCCTACAGCGTTAAAACAGGTTCGCTTTTGGTTAACAACTGAAAAAAGATTGCAACTGAATTTGAATTAAAACAGAGCAGAGAACAACAATGGGAAGGTTAAGATGCAGGAAGATAATAAAAGTAATCATCCGTTTCCGGGATTATGTGAAATTCTACCGGAAAAGAATAACACGACTGCTAGCTGAAATAATGGATGGGGAACGAAAACAGTAGAAAGCCGAAGAAGCAGGAAGAAGGACAGTAAAAAATTTTTTTGGACCGTTCACTTGGTTTTCGATTACGATTCGCGGCCTCCATCTAATGGCCATTACTTATTATTATTGCACTAAAATTTTACCTGTTATTATGTGTAAAGTCTGGTCCGACGATAGAGCAACATATTTCGCGCAAGGTGATAATTTTATTGAATCAGAACGAAGGGACGGGCAGTGCAGTACTTTTTTCACTGGATTCATCCCCTTTACTGCAGATACGACTCTAAAACTGGTACCTTGGATACGTACCTGGGATGAGTTATACTAAATTTTTAATACATTTTTAACAGTTTGGGATCCCCCTGTTGGTGATGTTACTAGAATGCTTGCCACATTCCTAGCGCAACAATGCTAGGCGGTAAAATATCCGTGATGCGTATACTTGCTGCACGAGTATATGTTGCGGCATATAAAGCTGCGCGAACAGGAAATGCTGTGACCGCATCGATGGATGAGTGACTACGTAGGCCCAGGTCGCCAGGATACTTTCTCGCAGAGAGTCCTCAAGCGACTTC